CCACCACCCAGGCCTCTCCTACCACAGCCATCACCCAGGCCTGGCCTACCACGGCCATCACCCAAGCCTGGCCTGCTTATGCATTTCCTGAGGCTGCACCATGGAGCTCCCCGGCCACAAGCAACCAAAGAACCAGGTGTGTGCCTAGTTTCTAACCTTGTGACTGCTGGTGTAAGCAACAGAACAGACTGGGTTCAAATCCTGCCTCTGGGGCTGTTGGAAGGCAAGCTGGTCAGAGCAGATAAAGACGGAAGGTACTCACTGCAGGGACTGGGAAGCGCCCCTTAGCTGTGTGCCCTTCTTGCTGTTTCTGTGACCTCTCTGCTTTGTTTGTGGTGCTGGGGGAGCAAGGAGCTAGTGCCTTTGCCTGCCAGCTAAGCGCACACCAGAGCCACACTCCCAGGCCCCTCACCGCAGTCTTTCATGCTCTACCTGGCTCTGCAGAGAATGGTTTTGCCCTGGGCATATTATTCTGATCATATCCATCCCTGTGACATATTTTACGGCCCGTCCCCCTGTTGCATCTTGTCTAATTAGCTTCCCTGTCACCTGTTAGAATCCACACAGGAGGGAGAACAGGTGACATCTGTCTGTCTGAGTCTGGCTTATTCTGCTTGACAGAATGATTCCCGGATCCATCCATCGTCCTGCAGGTGACAGAATTCCGTGCTTCTTTATGGCCAAGTAATACTCTGCTGTGTAAGAGTACCCCAGTGGCATCTGAACTGGTACTCATCACTTCTGTGACAGGTGCATGCATTAGCTGAGCTTACTCTGGCCGAAGCTCTGGTCCTCCCTGTCCCTGCCAGCAGCATAAGGCCTGCTGCTCCCCATCAGTGTCAGGCTAGGGAGAGAGGTCTTAGGGGCCGGAACACCCGGTTGCCAGCCCTGGCAGCTGGCTCTTCACTGCCCTCGGGGACAGCCAAATGCAGCCCACACCTGCTTCCTGACTTCTATCTGAAGCTCAGCCTGAGAGTCGCTCCGCAGGGCGGGTGGCTTACCCAGCTTCAGCCCCAGCCCTCCAGCTCTAGCCTCTGTTCCCACAGCCAAGAGCAGCAGACAGACAGGGGTGGCACTTATGGCCAGGCCCAGGTCCTGGAGTCAGGCCTGCACCTGCCCAGTCACCCTGGAGGCAGAGGGACGAAGAGGGTGATCATCCCAGGGAATCCAAAGACTGCAGGAGCCCCTCAGCCAGAACTGGAACCTCTGCCAGCTGTGCCAGGGACAGGCAAGGTAGGGCACTCCCAAGTCCTGACCTGGGCCTCAGTGTCCCCACATAGACCTGCTGGGCCATGAGTTGGCCTGCGGGCAGGAGTGGCACAGAGAGACACACACCAGGGGATGCCATAGGTCGGGAGCATCCGTGGGGGCTGAGGTGGTCAATGCAGGCCTCACTGAGGGAAATGGATGATGGGATTGATGTGAGCTGGTGAGAGGTGACGAGGCAGGGGACCCACAATGGCAACGAGGACCCCTTCACGTGCACCCCCTTCGGGGTGCAAGTGCAGCCTCTCAACAACCTGCCTGAGTGACAGTGGAGTCCCAGCACATGGGGGGTGGGAGGGGACACGCAGGTCATGGGTCTCCCTCTCCACGCAGTCTGGTACTGCAGAGCTCCCAGGGGAGAGAAGACCACACCCAGGACCTCGTGGAAACACGGCGCTCCACTGCGACATGCATATGCCATGCAGCGTGGAACACTGTCCCGAGAGCAGACTGTACAGTGTGCACAGCGTGGGGACAGTGGCACTGACTGGAGTAGAGTGACCCACTGCCACACGGCCCGGACAGGGACTTGCAGCACCAAGACCACACCTGCGCACACCCAGCCCTGCAGCGAGGGGCTGCCTCCTGCATCCTGCTTCATCCCCTGGCCCGTGGCCCCAAGCCTGCTAGCTCCTCTGCCCTCTGCCTAGCCCTTCTCTCTGTTTCAGCCGCACTGTATGCTGACTG